CCCTCTGCCGTTCTCAGAGGCTTACAAAGCTGCGCTTTCAATTCCCTTCCCATATCACCTCGCTCCCTTCCTGAGTTCTATTAAAGATCAAGAGCAGCTGACGTTATTTGAACACGTTTTGCGCCGCAGGTCTTGCTTCTTACGAGGCTCTGCTAAAATGGTAAGTGGTGTTCCTGTACCCCTTGCACAAGAAAGAAGAGGGAGGCCCACAAAGCTGGGAGTCCTCCAGGCCTCATCCCTTGCCCTTTGCCAATCCCTGTGCTCCTTCCCTGAGGGCTCCTTCCCTCGCCGGCTTCCAGGCTTCCTTGAACTCGTCCCTACCACGTCCCCCAGCCTCTATCCCTCGCCAGCCTCCACCTATTGCCTCTCTCTGCGCCCCGGGCTCCAGCCCTCGCTCCTAGCTGGTCCCCGGGATCCATCCTCTCACCTCGCCGATCCCCAGGGTCCACCCCTCGCCGCTAGCCATCCTCCAGGCTCCACCCTTCGCTACCCGCCGCCCTCCGGGCTCCATCTCTCGCCCCGGCACACCTTTTTGAGCTTCTGCTGCTGTACGACGCGCGCCTTCTTGGGAGCGATAACACGACCTGGGGAAAGATGCACTCGCGTGAGGTCGGGAAGCCCCGAGTCCACCTCGCCCCCAAGTTCCCGGGCCACTCCTTACCGCCTTTCCTCGGGCCCCGATTCTTCTCAGACGCCGCCGCTGCCGTCTTGCTCTTTGCTGGCTTGTGCGCCTGGAATTTGCGCTGTCCTTGCGCCATGTTCCGGCATGCAGCGGAAGAGGCGGGGCTGTGAGCGGTCGTAGCCGGAAGGCACAGGGCACTATGGGATACAGCGGGGCGGAAAAACGCAAGACCTCACGGGATACAATGTGGCACAGATTTAAAGAGACAGGACCCCACAAGGGTAAAGGATCACAGCCGGAGTTTTGCAGACAGTGTGAACAAAAGGTGACCATGATAAGCTAACGTTTATTGAGTGCTTATGTGTTTTAGAAAACTTACGTTTTATGCTCTTCACACATAAAAACTCAGACTAGGTTTAGCGGTGCCGCACTTACCTCTAGTGCAGAATTTAAGAAAGTCCGAAAACTTCGGTAATGATAATATTTCCAAGATTTAAAAAATATTTTCATATCCAAAACAATCAAATTGTCAAACTGCATCCTGCAGACCGGCAGCATAATTTTATAAATAAAGTTTCAGTGGAACCAGGGTGTTGCGGTCAGTAAGCTGAAGGCACAAGTGCAGTGTTCCAGCCTCTTTAAAATTTTGTTTTGGCTGGGCGCGGTGGCTAACGCTTGCAATCCCAGCACTTGGGAGGCTGAGGTGGCGGACCACTTGATATCAGGAGTTCGGGACCAGTCTGGCCAATATGGTGAAACCCTATCTCTACTAAAAATACCAAAGAGTTGGCCGGGCGCGGTGGCTCACACCTGTAATCCCAGCACTTTGGGAGGCCGAGAGGGGCGGATCACCTGAGGTCAGGAGTTCGAGACAAGCCTGACTAACATCATGAAACCCTGTCTGTACTAGAAATACAAAAATTAGCCGGGCATAGTGGCGGGCGCCTGTAATCCCAGCTACTTGGGAGGCTGAAGCAGGAGAATCGCTTGAACCTGGGAGGTGGAGGTTGCAGAGAGCCGAAATCATGTCACTGCACTCCAGCCTGGGCGACACGGGGATACCCTGTTTCCAAAACAAAATTTGTTTTGTTTTGTTCTTCATGGATTTTTTTATTTTTAAAGATGGGGTCTCACTCTGTCGCCCAGGCTGAAGTGCAGTAGTGAAATCATAGCACATTGTATCCTTGGACTCTTGGGCTCAAGCAATCCTCCCACCTCAGCCTGGGTAGCTGGGGCTAGATGTGTGACCCACCATGCTCAGATAATTTTTTTTTTTTTGAGACGGAGTCTCGCTTGGTCACCCAGGCTGGAGTACAGTGGCACCACCTTGGCTCACCGCAACCTCCGCCTTCCGGGTCAAGTGATTCTCCTGCCTCAGCTGAGTAGCTGGGGTTACAGGCATCTGCCACCACGCGCGGCTAATTTTGTATTTTTTACTAGAGATGGGGTTTCTCCATGTTGGTCAGGCCGGTCTTGAACTCCCGACCTCAGGTGATCCACCCGGCTTAGCCTCCCAAAGTGCTGGGATTACAGGTGTAAGCCACCGCGCCTGGGTGGCTGCTGAGCTTTTTTACTGTCCCCTTAAAATCCTGCCCTGGCGGTGTCACCTTAGCTCCAGCCCTGACCTTAAGAGGGAGGTACAAGTGTTAGCCACACTTTATAAATGAGGAAACCAAGGCACAGAGAGGTGAAGTGAGTTGTCTAAGATCACACAGTGGAAAAAGTGGCAGAGTTAGGATTTGAACCTGGGTGGCCTTCCTCTAGATGCTGGGATGTAGATGGAAGGTCCTGTCTGATCTCTCTGCACTAGGAACAAGTGTGGTCAGGAGTGGGAAGGTCAGCTTTTGGGCAGCCATTCAAGAAATTTATTAAAAATCCTAGACAGGCAGGCTAGGGAGGGCTGAGTTGGTTACATCTGGGGTCCATCTGGGTCCCATCCCTGGAAGAGATGGTGGTGGTTAGGGCTGCCCGGAGCTCCTCAGGGGCAAAGACCCCCAGTTCTGTGATTATGCCGCCAGTGATGAGGTCGTGGGGGGTGACATCGAAGGCAGGATTCCAAACTCCAATCCCTGCAGGGGAAAGAGAGGAGGCAAGGAGGCAGGAATTTGCTTCTGTGAAAGTTCTCAGGTTGTGGTCATCTGTTTCTGCCACCGTGGTTCTTGGAACTGGGGACTCCTGGAGCACCTGGAGTCTCCCCCCTAACGTACATGCAGGCAGGGACACTGTACCCAATAGTGAGTTTAGAGTCCCAACTGCCCCTAGGTCCTATGTACATCAATCCCACTTATTATTGATTGATTCATTGATTTATCTGAGATGGAATCTGGCTCTGTCGCCCAGGCTGGAGTGCAGTGGTGTGATCTCGGTTCACTGCAATCTCTGCCTTCCCAGTTCAAGCAATTCTCCTGCCTCAACCTCCCAAGCAGCTGGGATTACAGGTGTGTGCCACCACACCTGGCTAATTTTTGTATTTTTAGTAGAGACAAGGTTTCACCATGTTGGCCACGATGGTCTTGATCTCTTGACCTTGTGATCCACCCACCTCGGCCTCCCAAAGTGCTGGGATTACAGGTGTGAGGCACCGCACCCAGCAGCGTGTCCCCTTTCTGAGGGGGCAGCTTACCGGGTGCCGCAATCCGGACCCCATTAACATCGGTCAGCTCCTGGCTCTGACGCTCTTCAATGATGATCTCCTTGCCAGTCTCCAGACGGAGGTCACAGGAAGAGGTGGGGGCAGCCACGTAGAAGGGAATGCCATGGTGCTTGGCGACAATGGCCAGCTGGTAGGTGCCCACCTTGTTGGCTGTGTCGCCGTTGGCAACCACGCGGTCAGCTCCCACGATCACAGCTGGGGAGGGGGCGCGTGAGAAATTGGGGGTCATTACCTGGCCCCACGCCCCAAAGCCCCACTCCCAGGGCTTACCCCCTGCAGGGCTAACTGGCTGTTTACCTGACACACCCCTATGGGCCATGGCGGCAGCTACCATGCTGTCGGCAATGAGGGTGGCGGGGATCTGCTCATAGACCAGCTCGAAGGCCGTCAGTCGGGCTCCCTGGTTGTAGGGCCGGGTCTCGGTGCAGAAGGCGTGCTCCAGGCGGCCCAGGCTGTGCAGTGATCGGATCACACCTGCAGGGGTCCCGCCCACCAGGAGAAGGCCCCGGGGAGGGGCAAACAGATGGGGTGATCCATTGGTTAGGGGTGCAGGCTTCGAAGGTGGGCATGGATGGACCAAGGCTTACCGAGCACAGTCCCACCCCGAGGCCCTCGCAGCGTCAGCTACACTCTTCCCAATGCTCACATAGTTCCTTGTTTCACATCTGTTGAAAGGACACCTTCTCGGTGAAGCCTTCCCTGATCTCTCAGTTTTGCATAGTAATCCCCACACTTCCAGTCTCCTAATCTGTCTTTTGTGTTGATCACCTTCTAACACCTCATGTGTACAGCCAGCCCCCCTTTTCTGTGGGTTCTCCATCCAGGGACGCAACCACGTGGGTTGAAAATCTTTGACAAGAATCACTGGAAACCGGGAAGCAGAGGCTGCCGTGGGCCGAGATGGTGCCGTGGCACTCTAGCCTGGATGACAGAGCAAGACTCTGTCTCCAAAATAAATAAATAAATAAATAAAAAAAGCCATCCTCCCATCTCAGCCTCCTGAATAGCTGGGAGGTGCATACCACTACACCCAGCTAGTTTTAGTATTTTTTGTAGAGACAGGGTTTTGCCATGGTACCCAGGCTGGTTTCAAACCTCCAAGCTCAAGTGATCTGCCCGCCTCGGCCTCCCAAAGTGCTGGGATTACAGGCTTAAAAATAGAGACGGGGTCTTGCTATGTTGCCAAGGCTGGTCTAGAAGTTATGAGTGCAAGCAGTCCTCCCAACCAGCATGTTGATTACAGGCCTGCACTGCACTGCACCTAGCCAATAACTACAATTTAGTTAGTATTTACATTGTACTTGCTATCATATGCAATCTAGAGATGATTTAAAATATGGAGGTGGGCTGGCGGCGGTGGCTTACACCTGTAATCCCAGCACTTTGGGAGGCTGAGGCTGGCGGATCACCTTAGGTCAGAAGTTCGAGACCACTCTGACCAACATGGTGAAACCCCATCTCTACTAAAAATATAAGAATTAGCTGGTTGTAGTGGCTCGCATCTGTAATCCTAGCCACTCAGGAGGCTGAGGCACGAGAATCTCTTGAACCCGGGAGGCGGAGGTTGTAGTGAGTTGAGATCGTGCCACTGTACTCTAGCTTGGGCGACGTATATATAATATGTATGGGTGGGCCGGGCGCGGTGGCTCATGCCTGTAATCCCAGCATTTTGGGAGGCCGAGGCGGGTGGATCACAAGGTCAAGAGATGGAGACCATCCTGGTCAACATGGTGAAACCCTGTCTCTACTAAAAATACAAAACATTAGCTGGGCATGGTGGCATGTGCCTGTAATCCCAGTTACTCAGGAGGCTGAGGCAGGAGAATTGCCTGAACCCAGGAGGCGGAGGTTGCGGTGGGCCGAGATCGTGCCATTGCACTCCAGCCTGGGTAACAAGAGCGAAACTCCGTCTCAAAAAAAAAAAAAAAGTATGGGTGGATGTGCATAGGTTATGCAAATGTGATGGCATTTTGTGTATCACCGACGTGAGCATCTGTGGACTTCAGTATCTGTGGGAGGTCCTGGAACAAGTCCTCCATGGGCACTGAAGAATGACTATATTTACCTTGCCTGCTGACTGTTCCTTCTACTTCCCTGGGACCCCTGAGAGCAGAGGTTTTGTCTGTTTTGTTCACTGCTGCGTCCCCAGCAAATGGAAGTGTGTGGACCACCACAGGTGCTTACTAAATGCTGGCTGAGTGAAAGAATGAAAGGCAGAGGTCTTGCCATCAAGGCCTCAGTTCCCAGGGATGAAGGTGGGACTCAGGCACGAAGGGAAGTTTCCTGGGGAATTTAGGGTCAAGTGGGATCTGCTGCCTTGACCCCCGAGAGCCCATTCACCCTGTCTCCTGGTCACAGCTACCTGATCTTTCTCTGGTCACTTCCTTCTCCCCAGTTCCTCTTGGGAGTCCACATCCTGGCCGGGCTCTAGGCATATGGCTCAGACAGGGCCCACTGAATGGCTGAGCTGGGATGGGCAGGTGGTCCTAGTGCCTAGTGGAACCCCTGAGATACAAGGAGAGTTTTCTAGTACGGGGGGCTCTTTTCCTCATGATTTGAGCCCTAACAGCTCCCTGCCAGCCCATGGAGCCTGGAGATGAAGGAGGGCAGAGCCAAAGAACAGAGATAGATAGATCCTGATGCTACTGGCTAAACCCCTTGATCTAGCCATACCTGTAGCCAACAGTATAACTTTTTCTGTACACTAATACCTTCACATTTTTTTGGTGGGTAAAGTGGTTTGGGTTTGGGGTTCTTTCTCCTGTATCCAAAAAAGGTCCTAGAAGGCCCTTCCCTACCCCCTGAGGCCCACTCACCTAGGGCTGTGCCGTAGCCAGCAGTGGCCAGAGCACCGGTGTTACAGTGGGTCAGCACAGCCACCTTGCCACCGTTGGGGGCCACCCGGTCCAGGAGGTGGCGGGCTCCGAGGTCCCCGATGCTCCGGTTGTCTCTGAGGTCTTTCTCCAGCATGGCCTCGGCGCAATGGATCACTCTGGGAGGGACAAGGGGTTTTCAGCACCAACCACCAGGCCCTGGGACCCAGGCGACCCCCTCCTCTCTGCCCAGTGCTGCTGTCCTGGAGCCCTCCTGCTCAAAGCCTCTCATTGCTGTGGGGCCTGGACGCTTCCGCCACGGCCACCAAAGTGTCACTGCATTCATTCACGCAAACACATGTTTACTGAGCACTTCCAGTGTGACCCAGCAGTAAACAAGACAGAAATCTCTGCCCCTGTGGAGCTGATGCTGCGGTGATGAATAGATAATAAAACGAAGGAAAAGACGGTGGAATCAGGCAATAGAGAGCAGCGGGTGAGCTGGATCATATACGACGGTGGCGGAGGGCGACAGTGCTGTGGATGCCTGGCCTGCACCAATGGCACGTGCAAAGGCCGTAAGGCAGGGTCGAGCTTGGTGGGGTACAGTGACATTGCTAGAAGGGGCTGGAGCAAAAGGGAAGTGGGGGGAAAAAAGAGGGCAGGAAGGGGACCAGGACAGGAAACAAAATTCCTCAAAAGCAAAAACCCGGCTGGGCACGGTGGCCCACACCTGTAGTCCCAGCACTCTGGGAGGCCTAGGCAGGCGGATCACGAGGTCAGGAGTTCGAGACCAGCCTGGTCAACATAGTGAAATCTCGTCTCTACTACAATACAAAAATTAGCCAGGCCTGGTGGCGCAGGCCTGTAATCCCAGCTACTCGGGAGGCTGAGGCAGGAGAATGGCTTGAACCTGGGAGGCGGAGGTTGCAGTGAGCTGAGATCGCGCCACTGCACTTCAGCCTGGGCGACAGAGCAAGACTCCATCTCAAAACAAAAAAAGAGAAAAAAAAAAAGAGAACAAAGTGATGCCAAAAAGGGCCTCCAGGGGTGGACAAGGAGCCGGGGGTATTCAGGGGAGGCACGATTAAGGAGTTGGGTTTTGGGGCCAGGCTGCCCAGGTTAGACTCCTGGCCCATCTGTGGGGCCCTGGACAAGGGTCTTAAGGTCACCGCCGTGCCTCAGTCTCCCCATCTGTATAATGGGTCAGTATACTTAAAAAGAGTCAATGTAATTCCTGTTCAGAGCAGTGCCTGGTACCAGATCCCGGTACCTCTCCCGGACTGCCTCCTCCGTAGCGCCCTCCCGCTCGGCCTCCCGGGCTGCAGCATCAGCCAGGTCGCGGGCGGCGCGGGCCATGTTGACAGCGGTGGGCCGGGCGGTGACGAGGAAGCTCAGCTTGTCGCGCACGAAGGCCACCAGCGCGGCGAGTCCGGGTCCCCCGGCGCCCGTCTGCAGCTCCACGGCGAGGCTGAGGCAGCCCACTAGGGCGATGGCTGGGGCGCCCCGCACCTGTGGGGGAGGGATCGCGGCGTCAGACGCTGCAGGCGCGGGCGCACCCTCACCTCCAGCCCCGCCGCCCCGTTGCACCTTCATGGCACGGATGGCCTCCCAGGCTTGGCGCACCGAGCCCACCGCCTCGTAGTGGCTTTGCTGGGGCAGCAGCAGCTGGTCCAGGATCTGCAGGGAGCCCCGCGAGTAGCGGATCGCCTCCAGGGTCATGGTGCAGCGGCCAAACCCGGAGCAACTCCGGGGGCACTGCGGTCTGCGAGCACGTGAGGAGCGGGGCGGGCCGTGGGCGGAGCCTCCCCCGGAAGAGGCGCACGCGCATGCGCATCCAACCTGACCCCGCGGGTTCCCAGGACGCGCCGTCTAAGTGGCGGAACTACTGCAGGTCTCCTGCCAAGCCCGGACGCAGTGAGCCGCTTCCTCGGAACCACACAAGTGGCACTATTTATGGGGCGCCCACTGGATACCAGGCCCTGTGTTTAGCAGCCTGCTATCTAGAGTTAGGGGTGTATTCCCAGTGGCAAGGTAACGTCAAGTGTTCAAACGATAGAATTTGTTAAATGATCTTCCTTCTCCAAGGTTCAGAGGGAGGTATTGGGGGGTCGTGCACCCCTTGAAGGATGCGTGACTGTTTCAGGGCCACTTTCTGCTTGGTTTCATTCAAAAGTTAACATGCAGGCCGGGCGCTGTGGCTCACGCCTGGAATCCCAGCACTTTGGGAGGCCGAGGTGGGTGGATCACTTGAGGTCAGGTGTTCGAGACTAGCCTGACCAACACGGTGAAACCCTGTCTCTACTAAAAATACAAAAAATTAGCCGGGTATGGTGGCGCCTGCCTGGGAGTCCCAGCTACTCGGGAGGCTGAGGCAGTACAATCACTTGAACCCAGGAGGTGGAGGTTGTAGTGAGCCCAGATTACACAACTGCACTCCAGCCTGGGCGGCACAGCGAGACTGAGTCTCAAAAACAAAACAAAAACAAAACCCTAAAAGTAACATGCACAGAAGGCTTTTCCAGGGGCTGGGGATAATAAAATATCTCACACTGGTGTGCTCCAGCCCCTGCTGCATCAGGCACAGATCTTGGGTACCCCGTGTGCCTCCTTCCTGGCCTTGTGTGTGTGGTTTCTGTTGCCTGGCCCCCTTTTCACCCTTCACACTCGGTCCATGCTGCCTCCTCCAGGAAGTCTGCCCTGATTCCTGGCCAACCTGAACCACCACCTTGAGATTCTTGTCACTCTGGGTGGGGACCACATCCGTGGTCATAGCTATGACCCTATACCAGCATTTGCTGATGAGAGGCCTGCCAAGCTTGGTCAAATGAAGGGGTTGGGGGGCAGCCGCAGGGCCGGTCTAATAACCCAAGACAGGGAAAAAGAAACAGGGCTTTAATGTACGAAGTCCGACAAGGCACAAACATCCTCACCAGGACCAAATAAATAACAACTCCACGGTTGCAGGAAGGCGAGGTCTGGGGAGGGGGCGGCGTCTGAGCTCTCCCAGGGCCGGTGGGCAAGCTGGGGGCCTACAGTCTGTGAGGGGACTCCTGGGTGTGTCCCGGCCTCTGGAGCAGGTCCAGTCCCACGATGGGGGTGGCTCAGTCACTCTCGGAGTCGGAGTAGTCCGCCACGAGGGAGGAGCCGAGGCTGCAGGGGTGCCGCGTGTCTGGGGCGTCAGCTGTTTCTTGGGAGGAGCCTGCTGGGGACAGGGGCTTGTCCTGACGACTCCCTTCCTGCCCCTTCGGCCCGCTGCACTTGGGGGTCTCGGCTGTTTCCCGAGGACAGTCTTCGCGGGACACAGGCTTGTCCTGGGCAGTCTCCTCTGGTCCCCGCGGTTCTCCACACGTGGGGGTGTTGGCCGCATGCTGTGGGCTCTCCGGGACGTCCCGAGACCGCCGCCGCACGATGCCCAGGTCCCCCACGGTGATGGGGGAGGTGGCGAGTGCAGTTCTGCGGCTCTGCGCCAGCTTCTTCAGGACGCCGCTGACCTTGCTGCTGGAGCCGGATCCGGGGGTGGAGGGGAACCAGGAGCGGCTGATGATCTCGGTCCGCTTGAGCTTCTGCTTGTCCTCGTAGGCTGGAGGAAAAGAAAGGGCATTTCAGGGGCGGCAGGGGAGGAGGTCCAGAACTGCCCTCTGCTAGACCAGAGTCCACTCATGGCTGAGGAACTCCCCGTGTCCAGGCAGCTGCGAGCCTCCCTGCCCACTCTCCCCCCGGCTCCCCACGCACAGTCCAGGGTGTGGAACTTCAGCAGGGCCGCCAGCCTGCGGTCATCCTCCGTCTCCGGGACCAGCGGGATGGTCAGGCTCGCCTTGGTCTGCAGGGCCTGGTCTCTCTCCTCCTCCTCCTGGATGGCTTTTTTCTTTTCCTGTGTCGGGGCCAGGAACACCGGAGACGGCAGGTGTGTCAGAGCCGGCTCCTCTGTGGGCTAGCGGGCACTGCTCCAGCTCTCAGCGTCTCCGTTTACTTTTCTTTTTTTTTTTTTGGAGACAGAGTATTGCTCTGTTGCCCAGGCTGGAGTGCAGTAGCGTGATCTCAGTTCACTGCAACCTCCTCCTCCCCGGTTCAAATGATTCTCCTGCCTCAGCCTCCCGAGTAGCTGGGATTACAGGTGTGCACCACCATACTTGGCTAATTTTTGTATTTTTAGTACAGACCGGGTTTCACCATGTTGGTCAGGCTGGTCTGGAACTCTTGACCTTGTGATCCACCCGCCTCAGCCTCCCAAAGTGCTGGGATTACAGGCGTGAGCCACCACACCCGGCCTTCAATTTACTTTTCTTTTTTGAGACAGGGTCTCATTCTGTCACCCAGGCTGGAGTGCAGTGGCACAATCATGGCTCACTGCAGCTCCAACTCCTGGGCTCAAGTGATTCTCCCGTCTCAGCCTCCCGGGTATCCAGTACTACGGGTGTGCACCACTACGCCCAGCTAATTAAAACATTTATTTTTGTAGAGGCTGGGCGCGATGGCTCACACTTGTAATCCCAGCATTTTGGGAGGCCGAGGCGGGTGGATCCCTTGAGGCTAGGAGTTTGAGACCAGCCGGCCATCATGGCAAAACCCTGTCTCTATTAAAAATACAAAAATTATCTGGGCATGGAGGCATGCATCTGTGGTCCCAGCTAATCAGGAGGCTGAGGCAGGAGAATCGATTCAACCTGGGAGATGGAGGTTGCAGCGGGCTGAGATCGCGCCACTGCACTTAAGCCTGGGCGAAAGAGGGAGACTGTCTCAAAAAAATAGAAAGTTTTTTGGCCGGGTGCGGTGGCTCATGCCTGTAATCCCAGCCAGCACTTTCGGAGGCCGAGGTGGGCGGATCACGAGGTCAAGAGATTGAGACCATCCTGGCCAACATGGTGAAACCCCGTCTCTACTAAAAATACAAGAATTAGCTGGGCGTGGTGGCACGCGCCTGTAGTCCCAGCCACTTGGGAGGCTGAGGCAGGAGAATTGCTTGAACCGGGGAGGTGGAGGTTGTAGTGAGCCAAGGTCTTGCCACTGCACTCCAGCCTGGCACCCGGCTATAGAGCAAGGCTCTGCCTCAAAAAAAAAAAAAAAAAAAAAAAAGTAAATAAAATTTAAAAAAATGTTTTTTTGTAGAGATGGGGTCTCACCATGTTGCTCAGGCTGGCCTCCAAAGCATGGCCTCAAACAGTCCTCCCACCTGAGCCTCCCGAAGCACTGGGATTACAGGTGTGCGCCACCACATGCGACCTCATTCCACAGATACTTCTGGGACACCCACCTTGTGCTAGGCTTTGTTCTAGACACTGGGGACACAGCGGCAGGCAGAGAATAACGCTTGTCCAGGTGGAGCTGACTGTCTAGTGGTGAGACAGTGATAAGGAGAAAAAAAAAGCAGGACGTTTGGGTAGGGGGTGGGCTGGGAGTTTCCATTTAAAATGTGGTGGCCAGGTCAGGTGCACTGACTCACACCTGTAATCCCCGCACTTGGGGAGGCCAAGGTGGGTGGGTCATATGAGGCCAGGAGACTGGCCTGGCCAACATGGTGAAAACCCGTCTCTACTGAAAATACTCTGGAGGATGAGGCAGGAGGATCACTTGAACCAGGAAGCGGAGGTTGCAGTGAGCCAAGATGGCACCAGTGCATTCTAGCCTGGTGACAGAGTGAGACACCCACTGTCTCAAAA